GCTTTAAAGACATTATTAGTTTGTGTGTGTGTGTGTTTTATATGCCTTCATACAAACTTAAAATATCTTCTTCTCAGACTTTTACTTTTGAAAAGGTTTTTTCTAATCCTTCAGGGGTTTTTCTGCTCAAGATAGAGCCTGGAATATTTTGTATATACTCCCACGGGCAGCGAATTGAACACCCGTGTTCCAGGGGAATGAATGCAGGATTCTTTCTAATCCTAGCTGGAACATGAAAATGAAACGTAATATCTTTAAAAAATAGGCTTAGAGAGAAAAATAGAAATCCTAAACTAAACTTAAACAATAAATGTAGATAAAGGACACATTTTTATAGAACTAAGTAAGTAAACAGTTTTATTATCATTAGAAATAAATCTATTTTTGTAAGCGAATCAGAATAGCAATGAACAAATAGTTCTATTAATCACATTACTTAAATATACTTGGAGTCCAAAAGGAAAATTAAATCAATTAAAAATATAAAATAACAAAATCAAGTATACAGGTTGTTAGACATTTAAAAAGTAAAACCATTCGAAATATTTTTTGGCTCCAAATTTTTATGATCTCCTTGTGTTGTTTTTTCAATCCCGTTCCATGATCTCAATGAAAGTAAACAAACCGATTCGAACCCGATCTTTTTGCAAGTTTCGTGATTTGTGGTTGGCAGCAACTGCAATGCAAATCGAGCGACTATTTAAACTCGGCTCGTGTTAGTATTTCAGGCGGAGAGGAGAAAAAGAAATATAAGAAGTGTATGAGTGTTTTAGCTCATAGAGGGAGAGAGCGGCTGGTTGGCAATGCAACTGTATGTTGCATCACCATTTTCAGATTATAAATTCGTTTTCAATATTAGACTGTAAGAAGACGGTTCGAATTGGATGTCTGGTAATGTTGATTTTTGAACTACGATTTTATTAGTCAACTTATTGTTTTTTCGATCGCTCCAGTAACGAGCACATTGACTTTATCCTTGAATATTATTAAAAGCCATTTTTAAGAAACTGCTTTCATCTTCATGCCTCCTCAACACAAAAATTTCACTGCCTGCTTTGCCAAAATTTAAGTTTACCAGTAAGTGTAACACAGGTATTAAGAAAAAATTGCACTAAATAATTCAAACACAAGAAGACAAAATATAATTAAGAAGACTCACCTTTCATCTCAGCACTAGATATTCTTGTACAAAGCTGTCATACAATGATAAAAGAGCTAGTATAAGCTATAAATTACGTGATATAAATCTTCTGATTAAATCCCTTTTTATTCTCTGTTCGCAATCAACTACCTGTCTTACAATACCTTTGCTTAATTGAAAATTCATGGGTAGACTTGAATATTGTTAAATTACCACCAAAATTCACAAAGCCGGATCAGGGGTCTTCTGAATAAATTACCTATTATTTTAAGTGGAGATTTTAATGTATATATTTTCAAAAGACATATCAAAACCTTTAGTTGATTTTTTTAAATCAAAATTCATTTTAATTATGTCCAATGATCCAAATGAATGCTCAGCGAAGTACGGGACAAAACTTGACGGAGTTTTTTTTACATATTTAAATATTTTCAATCTAAAGTATATATAACCTATTTAAGCTACCATAAAAACCTAATCTTTCCTTCTTAGAGTATAATTAATTCACAAATATGATTGCATATTTCGCGAAAAATATTACTTTATGAGTACAGACATATGAGTAAATTATTTTTTATGACAATATTAATATGCCCTTGTTTTTTACTCATTTAACTAATCCCTGAAATAAGATTAAAAAAATTTTAAGTTATAATTTCTATCGTGTGGTCATAAGCTCATGCACTCTTTTTTATTTTTCCTAACAACAAAGAAGAACATACAGGTATACATTCTTCTCGTTTTCCAAAAAAAAAAACTATAAAGAACCTAACTTAAAGGGATAATTGTGTGTTTCTATAACTTTGTTACATACATTTTATTTTACATAACACTTACAAAAACAAAATATATCAATGTGTACGAGACCACTTTCTTAATGCAAACCATCACTCTGTGTTCAACTTGATCAGGGTTGTCAAACGTTCGGCCCATAACGAACATTTTTCCGGCTCGGTCAGTATATCGGTCCACAATATTATATTAGAAAATATGAAAATTTCTCCAGAAATAGGAAATATTATAACAGAGAAGGGATACCAAATGTCAGGACGTAAACATTAAATTTGTTCTTGTTCTTTTTTATTATTATAATGTATTATTCGAAATAAACTTACATTTCTATGAATATTGAGTTTCTTTTGTGGTCCACCTAAATTTAAACCTTGTTTTCTTCACCCAAGTTAGCCTTTGAATAAGAAACCCTGGAACTGGATACCCCAGTCTCTTGAACCAATAACTATATGGGTATTTTATAACATCTTTTTCAGCTAGACTACATATAAGAATTTATTCTCTTGATAATATATAAATATCATGGAAAATTGGAGTGTATGCCATTTAAAACTAACGAGAGAGATGATGCATAGATAAATGGCTCAAGAAATTATATATGTTACTCCCCACTGAAAACAAATAAATATCTCATTGCAAGTTTAAATTAGCTGAAAAGGGTGATTATTTTGAGTTTCAATCTAGTAATCGAAAATCTTTCATAGAATTTCTTCCCATACTTAGATATTCAAAATAGAAGATCATAATAACAGACAGTAATTTTTGGCATGTTCATTAAATATCATTGAATATCTCACTAAAAAAAGGAGGATTTTATTCTGTTATTCCTGCGTGGGTTTTGAAATCATGTAAATGAAAACAAACGGGTTGCATATTAATGATATATTGGGAAACTGGTTTTGAGTTTATTGAATATGTTTTGAATAGCTATTTTTATAGAATACACTTTAAAAAAATTCACATAAAAATAAAATGTACAGAGAACAGTTATATAAATCGAAAATTTAAAAAAGTACAAATAATGATTCAAAAGTTTTATTTTAAATTATTGGATTAGATAAATAAGGGCAAAAAATATGTTTTTTTCCTACATATTTTTTTCTAAAATATTTTGTAATGCATATTGTTATGTTAATCGGGGTTCGAGTATTTTATGCAAATCTGTCGCAATCGGTCAATGTTATAGAAGAGGAATCAAACGGGAAGTGAATTTGTGGGCAGGAAAAAGTTCCAATAATAATACAAAAAATTTGGGATATAAAGAAAATAATTGTTTAAAGGATGGTGTTCTTTGAATTTTTATTTTTCAAAAAAAATACGCAGTTTTCAGCATTATTGCAAAATGAAATTTGAATTTTCTATGTTAAAGTATAGGAGGTGAAAACGCGAAACACATTTTAACACATTTTTTTTTTCGAGTAGTGTTAAATAGTATGTAGGAAAGCGCACGCATGCTTTCCTCTTTTAACTGGTATAGCCAGAATTATGTTTTACGTTTTTATTAATTAACTTTGCTTAAATTTTAAGTTTATTCTGAATTATTTTTGGCGTATATATTTCGGACTACCTCAAAAAAAAAGATGGCCCTAGATGAAAGGCGCATTTACTCTTGTGTACGAATACATATTTTTGGCGGTATCTTTCAGAAATATAGTCGCCAGCTGAAATTATGGTACCTTGCAAATTGTGACAAATAGTGGTCAATGGAAAATATTTATGATGTACAGATATATTTAACACCTCAAATCGAATGAATTTTCCTATTCAGGAATGTATTAAATGTTTTCTGCATGTGTGCCTTAAAAAATTCATTTATATAGATAATTTATAATTATGCTACTTAGATTTTTCTTTTATTTGTTATTGTAGAAATGTCTATAAAAATATTTAAATTCTGTGAAGCGACTGAATGTAGAATTGAAAGTATACTTATTTTATACTTGACCAAAAGTTGTGAATTAACTAATAAACACAAATTACTACTCCTTGAAGATCACAAATTAAAATTTTAATCTAAATATTGTAATACAATTACTTATTATTATTTTTTAACTAAAAAATAATTTTTCTCTCCATCTAATAGACTTTATATATATTTGACGTATACTTTACCATGAAACATTGACCCTATTATTAACCAAATTTTGTTTCCTAATTTAATTAGAAGAGACATATTTTTTCAATTAATAATGCTCAGTTTCAAAGCCGCACCAAAATTCTAAGCCCATTCTTGTGAAAAAAAATTAAAAATAGAGTAAAATATGTTATTGATATATGATATATTTACAACATAAAAAGTGTTCGTGGTAGCCTAGTGGTCAATGTAATAGACCCGTGACTGGCGTGTCATGAGTTCGGGCCTAGTACCACTGAAGACCCGGTGTGTAGGGGAGCGATGCACGTTAAATATATCGCTAACTCAAACGGTCCCCCGTTGGTGTGGTAGTTAGGAGAGGGGCTATGTATATTTGTAAATTTAAAAAACAAACTAGAACCTGTATTTTTTCTATCCGATGGTAGCTTTTTTAATTTTCTCCTGCAATAAATTCTTCCGTCTTTGATTCTAAGATACACCCGATTTTTAGTAGCATAAACATCGAGAAAAAAATATGCGGCTTAGATTCGAATAAATACGTCAGTATCGCGATTTTAAAGTCTTTGTATCTATATAAGTTTGCCCTTTTTACAAGCTTTTATTTAACTTGCAATGTAAAATGTTCGGGTGGAATCTTGCAACTCAATTTTGAAGAGCTGATGACTTCAACCGATTGTGCTGAAATTTTATATACACGTTTAGTTTGGATGACAATATATGTTTTAACCACTTATATTCCGATATCGCAATTAGTTAAAAAGATATTAATTAAAGTATTTAGTTTGGGTGGAATCTTGCAACTCAATTTGTAAACTAATGTCTTCAGCGGATTAAGCTGAAATTTTGTGTACATGTTTAGTTTGGATGACAATGCATGTTTTCATGATTTATATCTCGATATCTACTTAGTTACTGTAACGATCTTGTTTAGGTGTTAAGGCGAGCATATTTACAATAACCAAGGTGTGAACCGGGTGCGTACCTCAAAGGGAAGAGTGTTCGCTTTGTATGCGAGAGGTACGGGGATCGATACCCCGCGCCCCCAGTTATTATTTTTTCGTGTAAAATATTTTTGAAATTCGTTTTATTTGTACAACGGGATATTTTACAATACTTCTATCTATTCAGCATACGTACAAAGTATGTTATGTTTTTACTGTTCTGGAGAAAACACTAAGAATGGCAGATCTATCAAGATATTTCTATTCACTTTGAAACATTCTATGATATCTTTTTATCGATTCTAGTTTTCCCGTAACACTTTTAATTGACCTAGTTACTGTAACGATCTTGCCCAGATGTTCAGGCGAGCATGTTTACAATAAAAAAGGTATGGAGCGGGTCGTAGCTCAGATGGTTGAGCACTCGCTTAGCATGCATGAGGTACGGGGATCGATACCCCGTGCCCCCAATTATTATTCTTTCGTGTAAAATATTTTTGAAATTTGTTTGATTTGTACAAAACGAAATATTTTACAATATTTCCACTCCGTTTACGTATAAAAAGTATGTTACATTTTACAAGTTTTTATTTAACTTGCAATGTAAATTGTTCGGTTGGAATCGTGCAACTCAACTTTGAAACTGATGTCTTCAACCGATTGAGCTGAAATTTTGTATACACGTTTAGTCGGGATGCAATGCATGTTTTGATTATTTATATTCCGATATCCCAATTAGCTAAGAATTCTAGCAGCACGGCCCGGCGTTGAACGAGCTTTCTCTACTTTCATACATTTTCCCTTTTCTTCACAAAATCAGCCCTCCCGACAAGTTTTTAAATCATAATTTGTGTAACGATTTTATAAAGAAAAGTTTATTTTATTCTTTTTAGAGCATTTAACTAAAAGCATTTTTTTAAGAAAATTTTTTTTTTTTACTTTTAATTTATTTTTATAGGTAAGAATTTGTCTAAGAAGAAAATTGAGACAACCAGTACTGCATTTAAAGTAGTAAAATTTAAAAGAAGAAATTTTTGAACTAATAAAATGAAGATCATTGAAGAAGAATTAAAACTAAGTGCTTTGAAATAAATATAAAAAAATAGTATGGAATAAAAATATAAAAAATAATTTCCAGAGGAGCTTGAGTGAAAAAGGTTTTTCTGTGTCCAACACTGCGTCTCAGGAAACCGAAATGCTTGAGTAAGGGCTGGTGGGTGAAAGAGCGACTAGAGCAGATCACTCGCTTAGTCGGAATGTCCAAAAATGAGAACCCTTACATCAGAGGTTCACAAATTTTGTCTCATAGACCCCTTCCATGTTTTTCGGTTTCAGGTAGACACCTGCTTACCTAATATTGAAATTTTGCAAATTTATCAAGTGTCTTTTTGACAGCTGGTGCTACTTACTTTTAAAAAACTAAATTTCTTACTCTAGGGAAGTATAGCATTTAAAATTTTAAAGCATGCATGGTTTTGTTAATTAAAAAAATTAATTCATACATAAAATAACTGGAACAATAAACAAGTGCTTTTAATGGGAAGGATAAATCTGGTGCTTCAATTTCAACATTTTTATATCAATCTAATCAAGTTAAGCCCTAAATCTCCTTTGTTGGTAAGTTTTCTTTTTCTCCCCTTCTCTTCCCTTTCTTTTTCGTTTTTGAGATTGGCGAACTCGCTGAAACTCCCTCTCATTAGGAACAGCAATAAAACTTTCTCACGATATTCCTGACAAATAACAGGTATGTTTTTTTAAAGCCAAAACTGCTGTCATCTGCTTCTAAACTTTATTTTAAGATCTTCATTAGGGCCTATTCTGATCAGTTACTAATATGACTGTAATATAACTTTTTTTTTCAATGCGACTATATGAATTTATTGTCTACTTTGGTATTAATATTAAAAAGCATCTCAAGCCTAGTTTCAAAATATGAGTAAAGGGCATTTAAATGCTGAACATATGTTAAAATGTCCTGACAGATTTCTGTGACAAATTGAGAAATTTGCGATGTTCAGTATTATACTGTTTTAGCTTAATTCTGGAAAGTAATACTGAAATGGACCTTGCCTTAATAAAATTTATACTGTCACCTAGTAACCATAAATTAACTTCACTAAATTTAGTAAATAAATCAGTTAAATTGGTATAAAATCTGGTTTCCAATAGATAAAATTTTTTCAAAGATTAATGTCACGAACTGGTTTAATGAGAGCTACTATCATAGACCCTCATTTACACCTCATGGACACTCAAATTATTTTTTCACTAACGCGGACCCCTTGCAGGTCGTCATAGACCCCTGGGGTTCTATATAGACCATTTTGGGAATCACTGCCTTACATGGTTAAGAGATTTATCCCTCCCCCTGAAAAAGAAAAAAAATAACTAACATTTCTTTTACCTGTTTTACGACTCCCTCAGTCCCCCGCGCGTCACCTTTCGCTGAAAGGGGAGAATGGGTAGAATAATCATTGGGGCACATGATCTCCGAAGATGTCTTAATCTCCTATCTTCAAAATATGGGGTTGGCATTGACAGATAAAGCCTGCCATGATACATTTAGAGTTGAAAAAAATAATAAAAGAAAATAGATTTTAAAATAAAAAATAAAAACGATTGCACTCAGAATTTAAAGAAAAATTGCTGCAGCCTTTAATGAATTAAAATGAATAAAATAAGAAAGAAAATTTTATAAGAAGAGAGTATCATTAGCCTGTGTGTGTGTGCGTCTGCCAATATTCAATCTCAAAAGAGAAATTAAATCACCGACTTAATCTGGATTGAGAAAGGGGAGAACTTTATTGAAAGGAGTACCCGAGAGAGAAGTTTATTGCCCATCTTAGGAAATCTTTCGACAAATATTTGTGCCAGAAATTTCACAATATCCAGCGCCATCTAGAAGTGTTACATTAATGGCAGGCCCTCGCCTTAACCCTCCAACTGGACAGCACGAATTTTTCCGCCCTACTAGAGAGGCTTCGAAAACGGACCAAACTGAATTTTTCCTAAGGCCGGGGACTCACCAAAAATGAACCAAACAGATTTTTCCCCTTCAAGTAATGTGTTCAAAACCGGTAAGGTGGTATTTTTCCGAATTCTTTTCCCCCTTTAAAGGTTTACGATCTTGAAAGATAAATAGAGACGGTCTAGGAGACACAATGGGCATTGAGGGGAACTTTTATGGCTCACGGGGAGACCGGTTCCTTTAGCAATCGTAAAAACTCGGAAGAATTTCTTTAAACCCTAAAGTGTACGGAAATAAATTGCAAGTCAACGAGTTGAGAATTCCCAATTTTTTACTTTACCTTAAAATTCTGAAATGGAATTAAGTTTTCATAATGTATGTCTAAATTTTTAAAAAATATCTGTAGTATTTAAATTCAAATTATATATTAAAACATTGAGGATAATTTACTGTTTCATTTTTCTTATTTTAATCAATACTTTCAGTGATTTTTTTTAAAAAAGATTATTTTGTTATGAGTCAAAAAATAAAAAAAAAGGTTCAAAATTTAAAATCTTTTAAAATTTCGGACACTTCTAAACATGAATAATTTTTAAGATTCTGTATTACATTATTTGCAAAAAAAATTATATGTATTGTTAAAAAAAACCCTATTTAAATCTTTTAGTTTTTCATAATTTTAAAGCCAGATATTCAAGGCATCTTACATAGAATCCCTTGTTTTGTATTGTTCAGATAACAAATTATGTTTGAATTTTGAATGTCTGAACAATAATTTCATTCAAAGAGAACTTTAACTTCAAGTTTATATTTTTTAACTTGAATCTTCAAATAAAGAGTATTTAAAAACATCTGGACAAATTTACAGTTAACATTTGCGCATATAAATAAATATAAATATCCTTTTTAAATTCAAGTTAAAAAAATATATATTTATGCATAATCCTTCATCATTCATGTTCCATTAGTGGTTGACTGAAGAAAAGGTTATTAAAATTTGGACATTTTTATAATTTTAACCATGCAAAACTAGGAATTTTGTATTAGCTCCACTAAAATTCTGCATTGGAATTTCGAAAAAGATATTTATGCGTGTCTCACATACTCAGTTGAAAAACATATATTTACCATAAATACTAATAATTCTTTGGATATTTAAAATTATCATTAGATTAATTTTTTAATACATATATATATTCGACTTCTAATATTTTTTCAAGTATTCCTTAAATTTCATATAATTTAATTAAGTGAGGGGATATTAAAGTCGCACTCTCTCTCTCTCTTCTCTACTCAACTACTTGAGGGCTTTTGGCGACGGACCTGTGGCCGGGGTATCAGGTGGTCAAGGTTTCGAATCATGGTTGGCATGTCTCGAGTTCGAGCCCAGTGCCACAAAAGACCCGCCGTGTAGGGCAGCGATGCACGTTAAATCTATCGAGAGCTGAAATGTCCTCTCGTTGGTGTGGTGTAGTAGTTAGGAGAGGGGGGTGCCAGGTTAGGTGTCGCCCTCGTCATTTGACCATTTTTCAAAGTTACGAGGTCCATCACTAAAAGCCCTCGTGTAGCTGAACAGTTCGACGTTAATATTCACTCACTTGGCGACGGACCTCCTAATTTTAAACCATGGTCAAGTGACGAGGATGACGCTTGAGCATTGCTCCCTTACACGGCGGATCTTCAGTGGTGCTGGGGTCGAACTCATGACACGTCAGCTACGAGTCCGTTATTTTGACCAATAGGCTACCGCAACCTCACAATGTGGTTGAAAACTGCATGTTATGAGTAAAATTATGCTGAAACGTTTGATGAACTTATAATATATTTTTGCATAGAAGATAGATGTGTGATATGCTAAAATGACAATATGTAAAAGTTATGAGAATACCGATGAAAATTTTTGAAAAATTCAATTTAAGTTTCAGTTTGAAACTTATTCGTTTTTTTCGCATTTAATATTAAATAGTCGCGATAACAAATTAATTGTTTAACGCATTCATAGATTATAAGAAATAAAGTTACAAATGACATTGTTGGGAATAATATGTTTTTATAGTTTTGAATTCAGACTTCTTTGCAGGAGTGTAGATATATATATATATATATATATATATATATATATATATATATATATAT